TATCATAAATAAACTGTTTAAATTACATATTATATAAATTTTATACAAATTGGTTAAGATATTAAAAAGTTTTATTAAAAGTATTTTTTTATTTACTATATAAAAATCCAATATACCATGTAGATCATATGAAAAATGATCTACGTACATCTTACTCTTAAATAAATTAAAATTTAATGCTTTTTTTATAAAAATTTATATATAAAATTTAGTATATCACTTCATTTAACTTATAAGTAACTGTAATAATAAGGACATATCCTATAACTGTTATAAACCCTTTTAACTAATCTCTAAAGAATTGAAGAATCTGCAAAACTATTATTATTTCAAGCTGAATAATTATATTTGCTAAAAGCTTTTTTTGCTCAGTTTTTAGTGACAATCAATCTCTGAAAAACCCTACACCAACTAACAATCAAAGCATTTATATAATCTGTCTTTATCCTGGAAAGTTTCTAAGCTAGCTACTCATTTCATTTTTCTAAATTTTTTATCAACCACTGTACATTTTCTAGTGCCTGTACCAACAATATTATATCTTTGTTTTAATTATTCTACCAATAATTTTGAGCATCTATTAACTTATAGACCTCTAAGCTTTTTACTTATATAAAAGCAAAAGCTCTTGTCAAATTTTAAATTATGCCTGTAACTGAGGCCAAACTTCGAGCTAAAACACTTTAACTCTTTTAAAGAGGCAACTGTTGAGCATAAAATTTTGGCTTTTGAACAGAATTTGGATGTTTTATAGAATAGGTGAGCAATATAAGAAATAAGCTTCCAATAATTAGTTAAAATAATCAACACAACTCTTTCTGACAATCATCTGGTTAACAAAAAACAAGAAACTGAACTACGGTCAGCACTATAGAAGACACTTAAGTAAATAATAAACTTGGTTCTACAGAAGTAGATGTGTTGTCGACGAAGTACCAAGAGTGTAAAACCGGGGAGTGGTCTACTTTGGACTGGTTTTGGTAGAGGTCAAGCTCTTCTTCTGGCAGACTCTTCTGCCTATTTGGCATCCAAACCAGAAGGATATTTTGGAAACACAGAATGTCTAGAATGACACTAGGAGTATTACAAGCTTAAGGTATATCTATACAACCGTAAAACTTACAAGGAACAACCACAGAAAAGTTTCGTTGGCTCATCACTTTTTTCAAGAAAATTTTGTCAAAAAGTGAGTGTTTTAGTTTACCCCCTTTAAAAGATCAACACGTAATTTTCTAAAACAAGTTGGTATTGTTTATCTGTCTAGAAATGGATAAGACTTTTATAATGGGATATCGGGCAGACGTCCGGTTTAAGCAACCATATATGGACTATATAACAATACAAATGGTATACGTGCCTCGACCAGAAAAACTGTTTAACAATACTTAGAGACTTCATATTTTGGGCTACTCTGTTTTATTTAGCTGTCTTTTTTTTATTTTTTTTTTTACTATATATATATTATTAGGATAGAGTTAAATATAGAGCTTTTTTACCTATTAATATATAATTTTTAAGGCCTAACACAGGTCTATAACTGTGACCTATCAGATTCTCTTTTCTTTTTTTTCCTCTTTCGTCTTTGTATTTGTTTTTTAGTTTTAGTTTTCTTTTTTTTTTTTTTAGTATCTCCTCTTTAATATTAGTATTAGTGTTAGTAAAAATTTTTTTTTTCTTTCCACTTCCCTATGAGAAGATATCATCAGATTGGCGATATCCTATTGTAGAGCGGTGGTCTGATAGTATTTGTCTGAGAGAGATAGTGTTTCTATTTTAAAACTTATCATGATATATTCATAGGGATGTATCTGCTTAGTGCAGCCAATTGCTTGTAAGTGCTTCGAAGTAACTGTGGGATGCCACTCCTAAATATTATACGAAAGCCTTTTGTAATGCTATACAATCGTAAAGTAATAAAGGAGACTAAAAGCAAGATAGCCTAAGTGGAAAAAAAAAAAAGAAGAAATAAACTTCGCTAATAATTAGTAATCATTAATTTTTTAATAGCGAAGTTGTGGAGTTTGCAGTGTTTGTCCACATATTCTATAGAACATCCCAGAATTCTAACTTTCTTTTTTCTTTGTTCAAATCTATTCACAACCCTTTAAATCATTTTTATTATCTCTTACTTTTGATACAATAAAATCTTCTTTAAAGAATATGTATTATTAAGATAATTTCTACAAAAAATTTTCTGTACCATCTAACTTCTAATCATCACTCTTATAATCTTTGCAAAAATCTATAGGGACTAGCTTAAACTAAATAGCAGCACTTTATAATAAAAATATTTTTCTTCCAAAATGAAATCTAAAAAATATTAAACTATATTGTCAAAAGGTTATAATCTACCAATTTTTGCTGATAGTTTTTAACATCATTTTTAGTCTTTTGAACTTGAAAAATTTTTTAGAGAGAGACCTGTTCAACTTCCTGAGGTTTATAATCAATTTGAACTTTTTGAAACCCTGCTTCAAAATTATAAACACTAGATTGATTTCTAATAAACACTTTGATCTTTCTTTCTCTTGTATAACTAACTTTATTGTACTTATTCTTTTTAACAGTCCTAATTCCAAATTTATTTCCTCTCATTTCTTTGTTATAAAAATCTATAATCTTGAAACCGGCAATGTTGCTAACCTTATCATCTTTCTTAGAAACAACAAAACCTTCTTTTCTAGTTATTTTATCACAATTAGCACTAGTTTTATAACTTCTTTCCAATATTAAATAGCTGTTTCTAAATACAATCTTTCTATATTCAACTTCTTCTTGTCTAATATCTTCTTTCTACCTGCTGCAACAGACACTATTCGAGCATAATCAACTTCTCTTTGGCTTCACATTGTCCTCACAAAAGAGTATATTCATATATTTTCTAGATCTATACTCATTTGTATAATGGCTTTTATCTTTACAAAGAAAACAAACTAACTTTTTGGATACTCTAAATCTTGAAACCAAACCAAAACTTTTATAAACAAGAGCTAGCAGATACTAAAAAGCTTGCTGTTGTTTCTGAGTATTAGTCTAAAAATTTTGCAGAAGCATCTGCTACAGTGTTTGTTGGCCTAAAATATAAGAACTGGAAGAATCTTGTAGATTAAACTTATTTTAATGCTCTTTAAATATAGCTAGATATGAAAACGTTTCTTGTCCCAAATTATACTAACTTGGTTGGAAATATAGTTGAAATTGTACAAAAGTAAGTATAAACATATTTAAAACCTAAGTCTGAGACTGCTATTAATGATCATTTACTGATTGCTTTATTTCATAAGATGTTCTAAAGTGCTTACTTCTAAAAAACTGCTATACTATCAACCTTGCTCTCTCACGTTTTTTATCAAACAACTCTAATATTAGATCTATTATTTTACTTGCCACCATTTTTGCAACTACACTCTATCTATCATTATCAGTCACTCTAATCATATAAGCTTTCTCAAATATTATCTGCCTTGCCAAATATATATATTCAATCTCACCAGATAATAAAGCCTTATCTAATAAAGCCCCAGCTTTGCACTATTTATTATATTTATATTAATTCCTAGCTTTAAACTCCTAACCAAAAGATACTTTATTTGCAGCAGAAATTAACTAAGGTGTCAAAAAATCATTAAAAGACTTGAATCTCAAGCTCAAACCCACACCATCTGATAGAATATTACCAAAACCATCAGAAAAAACTTTAACATTAAACTTATTATAATCATTCAAAAATGGTTTTGAATACTTATTCAACTCAACTCTTTTTCTTTTTTCTAAGTTATCTAAACTATCTAATTTATATCTCTTTTTAGCTTTACTAACAGTTAACCAAATGCTGCTTAACATCTGCTTCTAAAATATTTAGTTTATGATACAGAAACTTTAACAAATTTATAGATAAATAGCCAAAATTAGTTTTAAAATTGGTCTGATTACATTTGTGAAATAGTTCAATATCACTATTATTTAAAGATAATGCTTTATCCTTAATTGTAACTAATTGACGATTCTCCAGTCAACTGAAGAATAACAGAATGATCATAGTGAAACGTGACGCGGTTCTATATATAAATTACTATAGGTGTGAAAGTAGAAATTTTCTAGTGAT